TTTTCATCACGATTCGACATGATCTCCAACACTAAGTCGTTTGCTTAATAGCTTATCAACATAGTATCAACAGATAATCATCAGTTTATCAAAACAAAGTTATACAATCTATCTTGTGAGCTCGTGTTAACTATATAACAAACAAATATTAGTTTTCATCACTTCTTGAAGAACATGGAGCATATGTCATGATAAAAAGTTCATAAACTATATGTAAATAACTTAAGGTAAAGGGGTTCCACGATCAACGGGAAAAAAAATAAATTTTTTAATATTTTATTTTGTATGTCGTGTGAAACGAACACTCTTACTTTGAATGATCAAAGTTCTATTTAAACAATTGGAATCGTGAGATCAAAAATATTTTCTCCTTCACCAAGTCAGACTCGACATACATCTTTCGCAGACTAAAATGAAATGAATGATGCTAAAAACTATGATCCACATAATTATGAAGTAGAAATGTGTGGATCGTCTGACATACTGATTCGTGACCATAATGCACTTTCATCCTATGTTACCAACTGTCCGATGGGGATACGTCTTCTTCGGATGTCTCCGGGAGACGGTCAAGGGGGAGTTGTCCGAAAAATCGGACAACTGTTTTTTTGCCAAAAAAAAAACGAATAAAAAAAAACGAGGGGTGTCTGCTCACCACTAAGGGATCCCCCAAAAAAAAATTCAGGCAGTTCTGAGCAAGAACGAAAACAAAATTCAGATACGGTGGGGGAGGAGTGATGGCGTGTGGATAAAATGTGTCTGTGAGTGTGTGTATGTGTGTGTGGATGTCGTTGTCACTACAGCTGCTGCATCTGCCGCAACGGATGGTTCACTGCATGTGCAGAAGATGCTGACTGCACACACACACACACACACACACACACACATTTTATCTACACACAAACACAATGAGTGACACGCACGTGAACACACATACATACAGTCACACACACACACACTATCTACTCGCACACACACACACACTGTCTGCACACACACGAGCACTATGTACACACAAAGATGCACTGTCTACACACACAAACACACACCGACACCCATGCACACACATACACATACTCACACAAGGAAGGAAACACTAGCAAGGCCAAGGCGAAAGTTGTCATTTTATTTTTCTGTATAACATAGTTTTATTTTTTATTTTAAATTTTAAATTTTATAAAAAATCTCGTTTTATTTTTTATTTTAAATTTCATAAAGAATTTCGATGTAACCCCAAGGCAAAAGTTGTTCAGTTTATTTTTGTGCATAACATAGTTTGTTTTGGGAATTTTTTTTTTTTTTTTTTTTTTTTTTTTTTTGTTTTTTTTTTTTTTCTTTTGGCCATTCGACCTTCAGACGGTCAGGGGGGTCGCGGACGTCCGATCTGGTAACCTAGCTTTCATCTCCATTTGTTGATCAATATATGCAGTTGTTGAAAATACCTTTGCAATCCTTAAAAACTCGAATATTTAGGTTGTTAAAAAAATGTGATCGAAAACTGTATAGATATTGTGGTGCAAAACTGTCGTGCTACAAAAACAAATGGTTAAAGACTCGGATTTGTTGCAGAAAGGGTGCAAAACTTTGTCCTTTCTTAAAATAGTTATTTGAAGGTTCTCCTCGACATGAAATTTTCTCCCTTCGGACATCCCAAAGTTCAGATGGTCGATTTCTTCGAAACAATGCGATAATAATCAACAATAGTTTATGTCCCACATCATCGCGGTTGAAGCAACCAAAAAAATAGTATTAAGGGATTTCAAGGGCAGCTTCGTGCTGAAGGTGCTATCTTTCATTGTTTCAATGCACCGATTGTAGGAGAAGTTAAGCATCATCAATTTCCATAACTGCACGTGCATGATCCTCATCACTTGGATGATGTCATTGATCAAAGAATTGATTTCATGAATTTTTTTCGAACGTATATCCAACGTCAAAATTGAACGAAGCAAATAAACATTGAGAAAAATTCTTGAATTGCCACAATAACTCAAAAATAACGATAAAGATTTTATGACGATTATTGATTTTCCAACCAAAAAAATGAATGAAAAAAAGTAGGTAATAAATCCGAATGTTAGGCAATGGATGAACATGCACGACGTTACAATCATCCCACTGGTCTGCAAGAGGTTTGTATTCTAATGACGGATGAATTTCTTCCTCGTGAGCTCAACATTCGTTGCGTGCTCCTCTTCAGGGCGAGCAACAAACTGTTGTGGTTCTTTAATGTTCTGGCGCTCATGACTGTTTAAGATTTGTTTTTTTTTTCCCTCAACAAATTGATGGTTGGTCTATCCGACGTCCGTCATAAGTTGGGTATCCGCTGGGTCTGAGTGCCAAAGAGTAATATGCATTTCAACTTCATGAACGCAAACTTAAAGGTGAACGACCATTCCTCCTTTATGCAACACATCTCTTTCATAAGTTTTGTTGCATGGCGTATGCTAAAGTTGAATCACTAAGACTAAAATGAGTAAGATTCAACAAAAGAGAATTGTGATCAGAACATTATCAAGATCTACGAGACGATGTGCAACAAAATCAACATGGTGATGGTGTTCAACTTGGTACAAAAGTGATTTTACCATCTATCATTAGACCTCGATACATGACTGGAAAATATCACGATAGCATAGCAATCAATAGACGTTTAGGAAAACCGGATCTTTTCATCACATGTCATGCAATATGGGGATCAAACGAGTGTCGTTGCCCAGTCAATTGTTGAACGACCGGCCAGACCTTCTTGCACGAGTGTTTAAAGGTTATCTCGCACAACTGATTGATAAGACAAGTGTTTTTTGTTTTTGTTTTTGTTTTTGTTTTTTTTTTGGAAGAGGATTTTGGGTTATTTGTGTTGTCGCTCCCCATGAGAGGGGGGAAATCCAACAACAGCCAGCGAGCTCTTTTCCAGAATAGATCTGGCTGCTCCCCTGCCCAGGCCAGTTTTAGGTACACGAGTGGAAATACTAAAACGACGGCCTCTTTATGTTCCATCTGCTGGCAGAAGGTCCAGCATAAGGTGTGGTACCTGTGCCAAGCAACAAATGTCCCATATTGGTTCCCGCCCCTGCAGGCTCGACAAAATATGGTGCCCATGGCATTTTCAGGCTTGGCTTCAATAGCTGGGCGAAGTACCGGAGGTTTAATTCAGACGCATCAGGTTCAACAGTCAAACTATGGTCTTGCGGGTTTTCACCAACAGCAGGAAGAAGGTTCAATGTCCGAGCCTATTCACTTGCTTCCCCAAGTGCACACGAACGAAGTGCTGAAGCCTGCAGGTTATGCTTCCCCGAAAATCGTTCCTCCAGCCTCATCCCATATAAGCGCCCGGGGCTAATCTCAAATAAGCCCCTGGGGCTAAGTCCCACTAGTGGGGCTTTAGACATGGTTTCAAGTAGGCGCATGTTCCTGCCATCCTATCTGCATGGAGGCCACGTTGAAAAATTACTCGAAAGGAAGACTAAACCCTCGCTAATGGGACTTGGCCTCTAAGGCCTTGCATCATAGCTCCAGGCTCGGAGATTGTAGAGGCGACGCCGAAAGATGTAGCAGTAGCTTTGTTGCCTGCACCCCACCGTTCTCTGCCTTTTCATTTTCTCTTTTTTTTTTAACTTGCTCCAATCTATTCGTTGGAAGCTTCACGTGCTGGGAACCGGCCCCAGCATCCCCATTTGGATCAAAACACAAATGCTTTTGCAAGAAACTTGTATATTAAACCACCAGTACTTGGCCCAGTTATCGGCGGCGGAAAAAAATAGACTTTGGGCGCTCCTGTAGTAGCCCGTACGTTTCCTAAAATCGTGGCGTGTTAACGGGCACTACTCTAGGAAGTACTGGTGAGTAAATCTAGTAGTAGGCCCTTGTCTACAGCATTACAGTTCGTGGGCTTAGAATGGTTTGGAATGGACACTGAGGAAAAAAGAAAAGAGGATGTAGGTGTTGGATGGGGAAACTCATGAAGTCCTGATAGAGGGACATGTTGAGAAAACTCAAAAAGTTGTTCAGCTAGGAAACATGCTTCTCATGATCTGGCGGCCCTTATTGAAGAGGCTGAGAATAACTTAATGTGATTGTGATTTGATTATCCTTCACAGTTCATAGTTCAGAAAGGGGACGCGGGACCCGCTTTCCAGCAGGTGATACTCCCCACCAATAGACTAGAGTCGAAAACAGAGATGTTAGGAGTGTGTATCCATATCACCACCCCTAGCAGTCTTGGAGGGTTGACAAAAAAAAAAGAACTTGTCTTTAAGGAGTGTCCTGATTAGTGGCAATGGTGCTTGGCTTTAAAAAGAAAAGACAAAAAGAGAAAAAGAAAAACAAATAGATGATCACCTGAGGACCCTCGAGGTGGAGAAAAAGAATGCTTAGGACATGCATTTTGTGATTCAGGGCATACTCAAATTACGACTTTTGCTACTCAACTGTGGACGTGATTGCGGTCAGTGCATCCAGATCTGGCCGTAATTGCGGTCATTAACACATTCTAAAAAGTGGTAGTGTGAGTAGGCCAATTGCCGGAGTGAGGTAAAGAGGATTGACGGGCGGGGGTTCTGAGTCTTTCTGCTTATTTCTGAAGTTTGTCGTAGCCATTTCCTAAGCAGCTCCAAAAAAAAAAAAAAGGAGTAGGCCATCAGTCTGGGCTGATCACCAGGCAGAGGGGTGCCCTCTTTTCTGAGGAACGGACACCAAGCCAAGGAGGGGGGAGTGGGGGGGGAACACAAAAGAACTAGGTAATAATCCGCATGGGTCAATGACTCACACGGAATTTGCTTCAGGGTTGTTTCTGAAAAGGAGGAGGGGGGGGAAGGCAGGAGAAACAGTGTTTGATGGAAAATAAGAAAAAGCTTTCTTCGAAGGGAATGATGATAATCATGTGAGACCTGTAGGACGAGGGCACACAACAAAAAGAAAGGGAAAAAAAAACAGAAAAATAAAATAAATTTAATAAAACGAAAAAGAAAGACAGAAAGAAAAGGAATGATCAGCGTTGTGTCCGAGGATTGCCAGAGATCAATCCACATCGGTCTGTCTATGTTGACTTTAGACTACCATTAAAACAAAAGAGTCATCTTACCATTCATAACCATGACATGAGAGGTCCATTCTATGACATCATCAGCCCAGTCGAGACATTGTGGCCATAATAACACCTTCTTGTCATTTCTAGCAAGTTCAAGATGGCTTGTGGAGAACGAGACCCCGTCAAAAAGACCCCCCCCAAATGACTATCAGTGTGTCGTTTTCTATCTATCGTCGCAGCACACGCCCCCCGCGCGCGCGCGCGCGCGCGCGCGCGAGAGAGAGAGAGAGAGAGAGAGAGAGAGAGAGAGAGAGAGAGACGATTGTATGCTGTGAAGCACGTCGGGCATTCAGCATGACTTCTTCCTTCCACCTCGTCTTTCCCTCCGTTAGCATACACAAACGGGCTCTCAGTCCTGATGATCCTCGATGCTCACCTCTATCCCCTCTCACTTTGTGTGTGTGTGTACTACGATGATGACGGTGTGATGATGATAACCATGTTCCCCTGATTTGTCTCCCCACTTAACCCATCTATTCTTGTCTGTATCCTGACGCTTATCCTTAATATCCTTTTTTAAAAAAATAAAAACATCGAAAATCGTTAATATCCTTAGCCAGCACTCAGGCTCACAAGTCTTTCTGTCGGCTGACAGCCTTGGCACCTAGCCCTTCCGTTCCGTTACCTTCCATTACGACACGGAGTTCAATGACATCAGTCCGAACGGATGACACACACACACACACACAGAGTAAACATTGTCATGCTGACAGTGTGTCCACCGTTACGATCCGTTAATATGGGCGCTGCCACCTCGTGTTTGCCTCGGCTGTTAACGGCCGTCCGCGGTTAACAAACAGTGACAGCCGTTGCTGCTGCCTTTAACAACCGTTAATTACTTGCCTTCATCACGCTGTCCCCTCCAGCAGCGTCACGAATCATGGTTTTGGCCACCGTGAGCCAGCAGCAGGATTGGCTCAGACAGGTCCGTTAAATCCCATTAGTCAGTAGCCTCTCCTGCAGTACCTGCGGTGCTTTTGGCTCTTGAGAGCGCTTGGATTGTACTTGTCCTTGAGGAAGCAGCAGTACTTGCCCTTGACCCAATGGGCTGGGCTTCCGATCCAGACGGTGCCTTGGCACCAGGGTTGCGCATAGCACAGACTTTGGCAGGCCCGTTGGGAACCTGCAGCGTCGGGATTCTTGCGGCAGTCGATCTTCCTCCTCGTGTTTGGGTCGTGGTCCGTATCATCCAGGCACCACCCCGACACAATGGCCGGGAAAGCCACCAGCACCAGCAGGCATAACGCCGCAACCACCGTCACGGTAGACTTCATGATGGGAGCAACTTAACTTGCAGCGAGGACCGTGGGAACAACCTGCTGCTAGCACACGAGAAACACACACACACAGGAGCGCCACACT